TGAACCGCTACTAGGGAAAGGAGCCTTGGTCAGAATGAAGTCATCAACAGAATCAGCAGCTCCTTGGGGATGATCATAGACCAGTGACATCTTTTGCGGCTCGGCAGCTCCATAGACGGCGGGCGAGGACTTTGTTCCGGTAGTTTTGCCGTTAGATTGCGACTTTGCCGCGGAAGACGAAGAAGGAACAGAGTCTGAAGATTCAAGCTCGACTCTGATTCCAGTGAGAAGAAACCGCTGGTGGGAGGAAACGTGGGTGTTAGCCGTATGTATTGCAACGTCACATTTCCGACATAGCAATGCTCGGTCTTGAAGACAGAAGAAGAATCCAGAAGCTTCCTGTTACATTTCAATGGAGGAGAAGGAAATTAAGCACGCAGCCAAAGCATGTACACACACACAACCAACACAACAGCACTGCTTCTGCCAAAAACAAGACAAAGAACCTGTCCCAAGCAACGGCAACCAAAGTATCAGAAGAAAAGAGCTCTTCAAAGGGCAATGAAGTTAAGACACCACCATCGTATCTGGTAAGAACCCGTGAAAAAAGATCGGATTTATAGGCCATCTGTGATGGGAAGGCGATCAAACTCCCCGGAAATGGCGTCAAAGTCAGAGACTTTGATAATGTTAATCTATCTTACTTAACACTGATTTATGTCTACATAATAACAATCTAAAGCCTGAGGAGGGTAAATTCCCAATCAAGCAAAGAACCTGAGAAGGAAAAAAAAGATTTTTTCTCACACCAGCAAATAAAAAAATTCAAACTTTCCACACTGATTACAACCAAAAACACACGGGAACAGAGGAGAACCACGGGTCAAGAACAATGGTACATTCAAAAAAAGAAGAAAATCGGCAAGGGGGGAGAAGGAGAAAAGGGGTACCTGGCAAATATCGCATTTGGGCATGGAGGAGGAGTAGCCGGAGAGTGGGACCCTCTGGTGTTTTCCGGCGAGTTTATTGGCGGCGTGAACCTTCTCATCGCAGCTCCGGCAGAGAGCCGCCTCGTCGGCGCAGCAGAGCACCGCCGCCTCCGCCGCCTCGCACACGTTGCACTGAATCTTCATATCAATCTCTCTCTAATCCATCAAAGGAGCAAAATGTTTGGTCTTGAATCTATGAAAGATTCGGCCAGGGGAAGATGATTTCGGAATTTATCCAGAAGTTTTCCTGTCTTGGATTTTTCGCCTCCTCGGTTTCGGTTGGAGATTTTTCCTCGAGTGCCTTTTAAAAACAAATTTTTTAATACGGGGTTTTGATTTTCTGGTAAGAAAAATGGGGACTGAATCTGGAGCCACGTTTGTCTGGTAAGTGATTGTAATTGAATGAAATAATATAAAGTTGTATTTAAAAATAATTTATACAATTTTAAAAATTAAATCGATACGTTTTTGTAAACAAAAATAAATAAACCTAAAAAATAAATAAAATTAAAAACATTTATTTTAATTACGATTGAAAACCGATTTGGTAGAATTTTGATGTAATATAATTTTTTTTCCTTTTTGGATAGAAGTGAAATTAAAATTGGGGATATTATTTTGTGAGGCTGTGAACAGAGGGGAGACACGTTGTGTTCCACGAGCAGAGCCTTAATGGAGGAGACCAGACCGCCTCAAGTTGCAGGAGATGAAGTGAAAGATCCCCAGATTTCAGGTTGAATTTTATTTTTTTTAAATATTATTATTATTATTATTATTTATTTTGGTATGTTCTAAAAAAATCTGAATAAAATAGATATATAGTTTGAAAAAATTTGAAAACCCCCTTTCATTTATTTTATATTATATAATAATGTAACTGTGTGTATTTAAAATGTTGATTTTTTTAATATCTAACAGAAAAAAAATTACTATTTTTTATAGTCATTTTTTTCATCTTTCTAAGATATATATTATTTAACGGTGTAAAACAGAAGGTAAAATTAAAAATTCAGATTTAATGGAATAGATCACGGATGTTAGATTTATTTTCATAATATTCCTTTAATGGTGCAACCAATTGAGTTTTAGTAATATTACTTAAGATACAATATGGACATATATATATATATATATATATATCATTATATCTCCATAGTTGCCTCTTTGTACTTTTGACCCCTCGATTTGATTTCACACATGTTTTCATATTATTCAAGGGCTCCTTTAGATATTTTCATATGTATAAAAAAGAAATTCCGTATGATTGTAATATAATTCCATATCACTCAAGCGAAACATCAATTTTTTGGATAATAAATGTATATGTCGAGGTCCAAACTAATCATGCGATCAATAAAAACCATGTGATTAAAATATAGACATTGTTTTCCAATTTTAAACTCAAATTCGAAACATAACAAATAATTTATATCATATTTCACCCGTTAAACCATCCAAATTGGATTATTCAAACTAACATTTGTGCATATTAAACGAGATTTAGACAATTCTAACATCATTTACCAAATTATAATAACTATTATTGTAATTCACAATTTGTTAATGTCTAAGCCGACATAAAATTATATTTTCGACCCTTCCAAGAAAAAAGAAAAAGAAAAAGAAAAGATTATATTTTAAGGGAAAAAATACAATGTTTTTCAGACAAGCGAGCATTCTACAATCATTAATAGGTCCCTTTTAGACAACAAAAGGAATAAAGCTTCTGGATGGTTCGGGATTTTTACATATCAATTGATTAAAGGATCGAATTCGCCCACGTTCTGGATGGTCCATCATATAAATGCTCACATTACCAACACAAAACAATTACTCGCATCTTTATTCAATGACATAGAGAAACTTTACTATCTATAGAGATATCTACAAGTGGAGAAATATGAAGGGAGATAGATGCAATCTAATACCTTGATCTGTTCCCGGACAATGCATGAGGTGGCAAGAACACATTCAAGAAAGGTGCATCAGAAGATATTTCGACTGTATCTCCGAGCTGCATAGTGTAACGGATATGGCAACCGTCGATGTAGACCGAGCCGTGGTCGGAGTACCAGTCCACGTCCATGGATTGATCCGGTTCGATGAATCCGTGCATCAGACTGGCCGATGACGAACCGGGCGAGATGGGTTCTCTCACCATGTACTGCAGGTCACGAGACGAAACGGGCATTACGAACCCACCAGCCGAAAGCATTGCCGCCGTGGAGCCAGCACCCGTGCAGATTCTTAGACCGCTGGACCGGCAGTTCACTGTTTTGGACCATGACTCGTTATTGTCTTTGCCCTTAATCCTACAGATCAACATTGATACATAGTGTTAGACTCAAAATTAAAAAGGGATACAAGGAAACATAACTATCCTACAGATGTAAATCCAAGACCAGGAACTCTTACTTGAATGAGAATCTTGAAACAGTGGCAGGACATGGGTGTGCAATCAAAATGTCGTTGAGTGCATGTGTTGGGAGCGGTTTCGAGTTTAACTTCACCGCTATTCTGGATACTTCCGAAGGAATTGTTCTACCAAACAAAATGTCATCAAGAATCTGTGAACAATGGGCAGCTTGGCCATGTCAGTTACTTAGAACACAAAAGGAAATCGAGCCAAAATACATAGCCATGGAAATCTTAATCTGAAATAACAATGAGACCGGATTACGGAGTAATGTAACTTAATTGGTTTGCGAACATGATTGGTTCCCTTCCAAACTTACCTGTTCAAAGTTTTCAACCGTTGCAGCACAGAGATGCCCAGTGCTCCTACTAGCATCAAACTGATCGCTCATTGCTTCCACCTGCAGTTACCACCAAACACTAACTCATTCCCGCAATCTTTGAAATAGTAACTCGATATCAGGAAATGTATCGGCTGAGAAAAGGGAAGAAGACAATTTTAACCTCTTCCGCTTGTGTCGGGTCAGAATTCACTCCTAGAACAGGGATCGAGTCATCGATGAAATGACTGGCCTGCAAAAGGGTGCCATCGCCGCCGACAGTAATGACCATATCGACATCATGAATGGGATGCAGTAAATCATTACGTGATATAGGTCTCCATTCAACCGGCTTCTTACGTAAAATCTCCTGACAAAATTTCACAGCATCCTTGTGTACTGCATGCCTACTTTCAAGATACCGAAGAACCTGTTACTTGGGCAAAAGAAAACCGAGTTAAGCAAAACGAAAGCAGACATCACCAATTCATAGAAAGAGTGAAAAGGGGTAATATCCAAATATTCAACCTTCATCAAGAAACAACACAGAACCATGAAAAGGAGAATCCCGACAATGAAAAAGCATCAAGGGTTACTCATTTTTCCCGCTCGATTCATCAACCAAAAGCCTGAATCGACCCTCCTCTAAACCATAGAAATTTCCAATTTTTACAATTTCAGGCTTAACAATCCACCCAATTTTTGCACAGATTATCTAATTTTCAAGAATGTACAGAAGTATATCAGCTTGTTGGAGACTACGAGGTCGACTGATTCCATTTCCCTTCCCATTTAGAGAATCTCAATACTCACACAACTAGAAAATTTCCGAAAAGAGGAATTCTAATACGAAAAACGAAAGAAAGACGAATCTTCACACTGAGATACAAACTGATAGAATCAGACAACCCAAATGTGTTCTTTCACACGAAAGAGAGTTAGGTTTACGATACCACCCTTTGCGGCATTTGATCGAACACCTTCTATACGAAATCGAATATCCAAAAGTCGAGATGACAGTATCAAGTCGTAATACCTGAGGGTTCTTGATGCGCGAGACACCTTCGGGTGGAAGAAACGGATATGGATCCAACGGTTTCAATAGAAGCAGAAGCTTCCTGATCGCCATAATCTCTCTCTCTCCGTCTCCGTCTCTCCACTTTCCCTTCCACACAGCCCACCGGAATAACAGCTTTTAATTCGTATAAATGCTAATTAAATGAACTAAAAAGTTATATATAGATATGCATTATAATTTATTTATTGCCTTTAAATCACCTGTAAATTATTTTTTTCTTTGAAAATTGTGGGCTTTCGGTCACTGAAACAAGTTATAGTGGGAAAAAAGGGATAACAAGGATCAATTTGGGTGAAAAATAATGTGAGGGGTCAACTAGATAATAAGATCATTATATGGGGACTTTTTTCGGAATTTCTTTAGAATTGAAATGCACGTGAGCACGTGGCACGTGCACGCTCTCGTCTTTCGTCGCTTTGACCGATATCATCGCCGGCGAAAACGGCGTCCGCAATTTCTTTTCTTGTACCCTCTCCGATGGTACGAGGCCATTGAAATTTGAAACCGCTTCGAAACCCTAAATCCACTTCGCGATTCCTTCGTCTCATATCCTGTCGCTCAAATCCCTATCCAGGTCATGCCAAGTCTACATCTACGTCCCGATCTCGTATCGGTGTCCATATGTTTTCCTTACTCGTTGCGAAGATTCGTCGAACGAGTTACCTGCAGAGAGAAAGAAGAGATCCGACGAGTGGGTTGAGTTGGCTCGGAGCCTGGAAGGCCAGGACTCGACGCTCGAAGATCTTCGTCGGGCCTAATCCGTGGCCAAGGAGTTGTTCTCCTGTTTTGTCGTGCATCACTCGGTTGGTTTCTGATTCGTGGTCCTAATTGTAGAAACTTGATAGTAACTTGTCGGGAAATCATTTTAGCCCACAACATCCTTACATTTAGCTTTTTGTTTGATTATGAAGAAGATCATCAAATACGCTTTGGACGGCAGTTCCCCCCACCACCAAAAAAAAAAAAAAAAAAACGGATGATATGATCACCTCAGATTGCATTCTTGAGAAGGAAGAAAAAGACAATTGAGATGATCGCTTTCTGCGTTCACGCTTCTTGTGGCCAACATATATTCACCATTGCAGAGTCGTGGGGTGCTTATCCAAACTCTTTTCTCGTACAGCCCATCTTTTGTTTTTCTTCAAGATTCAAGCTATAGACAGTTTCATTGGTTTCAATCGGCAGAAGTCATGGAGGCCAACGTAGCAAGACGCTGGAGCTCTCTGCCTGTGCCTTCTGTTCAAGAAATGGTCAAGGAGAAGAAATTCACCACTGTTCCTCCGAGGTACGTACGGTCTGATCTGGACAAAGCTGAGATCGAGGATGAGTTTGGCCCGAAGCTCAAAATTCCAGTTGTAGACGTCGAGCGCTTGCGCTCTGACACCATCATGGACTCTGAACTGGAGAAGCTCGATTTCGCTTGCAGAGAATGGGGTTTTTTCCAGGCTAGCCTCTCTGTTTCTTTATGTTCTTATCTTGTATTACTCTTCACTCATATGAAAATGTCTTATTCGAACACAAGAAAATAATAACATAAGTCTGGTTTCGGGTTTTCGTGCTGGGTTTACTCTGCCTTGCAGCTCGTAAACCATGGAGTAGACTCATGTCTCTTGGACAAAGTGAAGGCGGGGATTCAAGCCCTTTTCAGCCTTCCCATGGCAGAGAAGAAGAAGCTGTGGCAACCAAACAGTGGTGACATCGAAGGATTCGGACAAGCTTTTGTTGTTTCCGAAGAGCAGAAACTTGATTGGGGCGACCTGTTCTATCTCACAATGCATCCTGTTGGATTACGTAAAGCTCACTTGTTCTCCGAGCTGCCTCTTCCCTTCAGGTGAAATTTTCTGGCATCGAATTCGTGTATCAGTCTTGAGCGCTCCATTGAAGCCTGAGTCTTGAGCTACTTTTTTTAACATAGGGATACCTTAGATACGTTCTCTACTGAAGTGAAGGAAATAGCTAAGTTTCTAGTAGCGAAAATGGCTAGAGCCCTGAAGATCAAGCCCGAAGAAATGGAAGACTTGTTCAACGACGGCTTGTGGCAGTCAATGAGGATGAATTACTACCCACCGTGTCCACAGCCCGATCAGGTCACCGGTCTAACCCCTCATTCGGATTCCATAGGCCTCACAATACTTCTACAGGTGAATGAGGTGGAAGGTCTCCAGATCAAGAAAGATGAGAAGTGGGTTTCTGTTAAACCTCTCCCAAATGCTTTCATAGTCAACGTCGGGGACATTACAGAGGTAATTCACCTAAATCTCGACATACTGTAATGCAGTTTCATTAAATTACTGTCAGTAACCCTAAGAAACCGTTTCCCTTCTTCTGAGAATTCAAACTATGATGCACAAACACGAAAGGGTAACCAGCAAGGCATATGACTGTTTTTGGTAGGTCATAACCAATGGTGCGTACCAATCTGTGGAGCACCAAGCGATGGTGAACGATGAGAAAGAGAGGCTTTCTGTCGCGGTGTTTCATAGTCCAGGCTTTGGTACGGAAATCGGCCCAGCGAGGAGCCTTGTGGAGAGGCAGAACAAGGCATTCTTCCGGAGGATGAGCACTGAAGATTACTACAATTGCTTCCTATCCAGGGAGCTCAAGGGAAAATCTCAGCTTGAGCTTATGAGAATGTAAAGAAAGGGCCCTTGCAAACAATTATGCTTTCATTAAGCTTTTAAAACCCTAATCTCAGTCTCTCTGCCTTGTGTGAAAGATATTGCGGAGAATCTAAGAATATGGTCATATGATGTGATACTCCCAAGCGTAGAATCATTTCATATTTACGACAAAATCATGCGAGTGTGTTGCCTCTTGTTCTCAAGATCTTATCTGCCTGAATTTAGGTGAAATAGTATTCACTTAATGTCCCATTAGAAAATGACACTCATTTCAAGATTCACTCATTTCATATTCTAGAAGAAAACGACTTTCACAGAGTCGTGTCCAATTATCGTTTCTCTTGGATCTCCTATAGCACCTTACTTGTTCCCCAAGCAACATCTTGCGTGCGAGTAAAGTTTCCTCTCCTTTTTAAATGGCATGATTAGTAATGCCTTTTGACGTTAGTCAAGGCCTTTTCTGCTTCCCTTTTCTTCACTGTCATTTTTTCCAAGGGAAAAGTGTTAGAAACCAAACTATCCGACAGCACCTTACTTGCCCCCCAAGAAACCTCTCTCGTTCAATCTACGATTTGTTTTGTTTTGTTTCATGGCATCAAATGTTCATTGTGGAGCGCTGTTTTACTCATTTGTTAGAGATGTATTCAACTGAAGTGAACAAACAGTCTAAGAATCTAGGGAAGGAAGTATTCAACGTTAACACGCAAAGCGTTGCTTGAATAGAAGAGGTTGTTTGGGAGGCAAGTAAGATGCACCCAGAAAGAAACCCTAGAATCAGCTAAGAGAAGAGTGTTCCGTTGTCTTCTACCACATGAGGCCGTATAGCAAAGAAGATACAGATCTTGGAGTAACCCTAGACGGGAAATTAATAAATGTTTTTGGATTTTTAATGAAAATTTATAACGTTTGTTATATAACTTTTCCAAAATAAAAATCTAATAGCATTTTTGCTCAAAACTATAAACTCGTGGAGTTTTACTATGGATTTTAGATCCAACAATGGCATTATGTCTTATGGAGTTAATTTGGAAAATATCGCACCATATGTTTAGCCATTTTGTCGGGACTTGGTGGGGGTCGAGAAGAGTTACTAATATATTTTTTTCTGTTAGGACCGCTTTTAAATTGATTTTTCCAATTTTTAGAAATATCATAGTCAGCCATTTTAGTCGGTGGCATATGGCATCTGTGGAATATGTAAATTTTTAGTTACAATTATTTTTATAATGTAGAGAGAAAATAAGAGATAAGGGCGTGTGACATAGAATGAGAGAAAATAACAATTTTCAAATAATAATAATCTCAAATTCATAATATATGTATATATAGTGTGAACATTCTCATTTGATAACATACAAATTGTATCTTATTTAGTCGCACTTTTATAAAAAAAATGATATTATTAAAAAAATGGAGAGGGTGGGGTTGGGTACGGATTTTTCTTGTAGAAAATTATTTTCTGTCACACTCTTCAACAAAATTTGTCACCATTTTTGTAGATAATATTAGACATAAAATTATTTATTTTGCATCAAATATAAGGCCCACGTATCCGAGATATATATATTGGTAGCACTAGATTAGTTTTCGAACCAAATTGGAGTTAGAACTCTATTGGATATGTTTTTATTAATTCAGATTAATAGAATTCGATTTAAATACCAAAATAATCCAATAATTGAATGAAAATAAAAATTTCTTTCTAAACGATTTTTTAGTAAGAACTAAATTCTAATTATGAATAGAAACCAAATGCATCTGTAATAAAAGAAAAATCTATAATAAACCAAATAAATATGTATATATATATATATATATATATAATTTATTACATTCATCCTAGGTTATATAGTCAGTTATATCCAATATTTTAGGGTAATGATTTCTGTGTATTAAAAAATATTTTGGTTAATCTTTTATATATATAAATTGAGATTTTATGTAACGGAAGTCAAGAATGGTTTGACGTAAAATTTCTTGAACACTCCATCAAATCTCGTGAAAATAAACATTCTATTGCCTATTAATAAGACCAATATTAATACGAAAATATTTATAAAAAAAAATATGAGAAAAAAATATATAATTTTCGTTGAGAATTGAGTTGAGTGTAGGGTTATTTCTAAAACTGAATTTCTTATGTGGCATTTCGGGAATATAAAACGAAATTTCTGTGGCTTTATTTGACCTCAAAAATATATTTCGATAATTTTATTCGTCCGTTAGAAAAGGAATAACACTTTAAAAAAAAACGAAATATTTACGATTCTACAAGTTTCGATATGTTTCCGACGGTTTGTATTTTCATATTTAAATTATATGGCTATTTAATTGAGATATTGATTTTGTTGTGTATTTTTCAGTTGGTAGGTGGAGACCGCAAACACGGCTTTCATATGGAAAAATGGTGGATGTGTATTATTCATCAAAGGAAACATTATTTTCGTGGGATTATATTTAATTAAATGTAGCTTAACGGTCGATTCTAGAGATTATAGTAAAAAAAAATGGAATTATCACATTCAGAAAATTTATAGTTTTTTTATAACAAAAATCGAATTGAAACGGAATGTAAAAATAATCAAAATTTGATATTAAAACTGAATATTTATTATTTTTTAAAGCAAAAAAAATCCAAAACAAAAGACAATCCAACTAAAACCCAAAACCTCAATCCGATTCTGTCTTTTCTTTTGTTTCATCGACAAGAAAAGTCAATACCTAACGCCACCGGCACATTGCACTGATTGGGGTTTATACATTCGATTTATTTACTTATTTTCCATAATAGATTATTATGGAGAGGGAAAAAATAAAATAAAATAGTTACCAAAAAAATAAAAATAAAAGGTAAGTTCGGTGAAATTAGAAGCAAAGACATGAGAATTGTGTGTTGATGACTTTCTTATTGCATATATAAAGTATAAAAGAATGTTTATGGATATCCGTCTGCTTACAAATGATTTCTGTGAGCGATCTCAGGAATCAAGCTTCGAGCTTTTTCAAATAGTAGCCATGGAGGTCGAAGGAAAAAGGCAATGGAGCTCTCTGATTGTACCTTCTGTTCAAGAACTGGTGAAAGACCACGAGAACAACGCTGATGTTCCTCCAAGGTATGTTCGGTGGTCTGATCCAGACAAAGCTGATGAGATCGTCGATGGGTTCGGCCCGAGACCCGAGATTCCGATCATCGACATGAACCGTCTGTGCTCTGAATCCGCAATGGATTCTGAGATCCAGAAGCTCGATTTCGCTTGCAGAGAATGGGGATTTTTCCAGGTAATACCTCGTATTCGAACTCAACGATGAAGCAGAATGTCTTGTTTCAGACATATCTATCGATCTATATCTATCTATCTATATCGATCGCTGACTCATCTGAATCTTTTCTCGATTGGATTTGACTACCGTATAGCTTGTAAACCACGGAATAGACTCGTGTTTCTTGGACAAAGTAAAGGATGAGATTCAAGATTTCTTCGACCTTCCCATGGAAGAGAAGAGAAAGTTTTGGCAGAAACCGAGCGAGATCGAAGGGTTCGGGCAAGCTTTTGTCGTTTCGGAAGATCAGAAACTCGATTGGTCCGACATGTTCTTCGTCACCATTCAACCTCCTCGATCTCGAAAACCTCACTTGTTCCGCAAGTTACCTCTTCCCTTCAGGTAATTTTTTTTTTCATTTCTAGCGCCAAATATGTACTATACTCTTACTAATATACGTATATATTCTTGTATTGAATCTCACACATAGGGATACCTTAGAAACGTATTCGAGCGGAGTGAAGGACATAGCTAAGCTTTTATTAGCGAAAATGGCTCATGCCCTGAAGATCAAACCCGACGAAATGGAAGATTTGTTCGATGATTTGATGCAGGTGACAAGATTGCAGAATAATGCATTGTGTTTTCCTGGTTTAGTATTTATACTTGTGAGATTTTCATATATATATATATATATAATCTTTAACATGATCTCTAACAAAATCTGTGAAATGGCGAATATATAAATAGCAGGGTATGAGAATGAATTCCTCCCCGCCGTGTCCAAAACCCGATCAGGTTACGGGTATAACCCCTCACTCGGATGCCGTAGGCCTCACAGTACTTCTACAGGTGAATGAAGTGGAAGGTCTCCAGATCAAGAAAGATGGCAAGTGGGTTCCTGTCAAACCTCTCCCAAATGCTTTCATTGTCAATATTGGTGACATCTTAGAGGTAGATAGACTCACCAATACATATTCATATATATATATATATATATATATATGTATCTATGTTGTTACATAAAGTTGAGGCCAAGAATGTGAATGCCATGTCAGATTATAACGAACGGGACGTATCGGAGCGTAGAGCACAGGGCGATGGTAAACCACGCGAAAGAGAGGTTATCGGTAGCGACATTTCACAGCCCGGGAATGGATACAGAGATCGGTCCGGCCAAAAGCCTCGTGGATAGGCATGAGACCGCAGTTTTCAGATCCGTGACTACAGAAGATTACTTCAAGGGCTTGTTTTCAAGGGAGCTCAACGGCAAATCCTATCTTGATGTTATGAGAATATAGACAACGAATAATATTTTATATATGTATGTATGTATGTATGTATGTATGTATGTATGTATGTATGCATGCATGTATGTATGTATTCGTATGTCCCAAGGCACGATACTATCGATTAATACTAAGTATTCAGCAAAACGAAACTTCGATGTTATGAGAATATAGAGAATGAAGCATATATATATATATTATACGTATGCCTCATGGTAAGATTCTATCAATTGATAATTTTTATTAATTTTAAATTATTCAACTAACTCTTTATCCATATTTATAATCAATTCGATTTTTATTTGGAATTGATTTTCATATTTTTCATTTCAATATCTATTTATTTCATTATTATTTTTATATTTGATAATTGAACTCTAAATTTGATTTAATATATATAAATTATTTTTATTCGATGACATATTATAGAATCGAAATATTCATGGTTAATTAATTTTAGTTCGGTAATATAATATATTTTCTCCTTTATTACATCCACGTGCGCATGTGAGCGCGGTTGTCATATTTCTTAAAAGATTGATTTCTTGAACCATTCCAAAATTATTTTTTTTAAAAAAAATGTAAATTAATTCGCCGATCTGATTAAAAGATCCAAGATGCATAGCCTTTTCTCATATGGTAATTAAAGTTTTGCTTTGGAAATAGCAATTTCGAGATTCGCTTCTTTGATAATTGCATGGAGGAATTGAAAACAAAACAATTATTAAATACTTTTACTTTAGACTGTATTATTAAAAAACTTTAATATTTCATTAAACTATTTTTTTTGCGTGAGTCATATTAGCGTAATTATACCTTAAAAAGATAAAAAAAAAAAAACAGAATAACACATAAATTGACTCCAATTTAAAAATCGATTTTATGTAATTTTTAAATTTAATTCAAATACTAAGAAAATAATATTATTTTTATAAATTAAAATTTAAATAAACGAATTTTTTTTCGGAAAAACAGAAATGTTTACCACTATCCAAATATATACATTTTTTTTTAATGAAATTAGCTTTTAGATTTAGAAATTTTTATTTTAAAGACGAGAGTTCAAACCTCGAAACTATCAAAACAAATCCATGTAGACCAAAAAAAAAAGGTTCAACTTTAAAATTACATTTGTTTTATGAAAAATAAGGTGAAAAATATTTATTTAGAAAGATTCCTGCGTAAAAGGAGTATGGAAACTTCCCACATTTACAGCCTCATCGTCTCTTTTCGTATTTGTGCAATATGACAATTTTAGATATTATGCTTTAATGACCGAAAATGGTATATTTTTTATTAGCAAATAACCCCAATTTGTTTATATTTCATTAATTTTTTTTTTATATTTTCCCCACTTGAGTAGAGGTTCTTTAATTTTTCTCATATAATTGTATATGGTTTTTTTTTCTACTTTTATTATATATAAGCGAATCAAAACAATGAAATGTTAACACTTTAAGGTTTCACTTTTGCCTGCACGCAAGTTGTTGAGTTCCTTTTACCTTAAAAAGCCACACACAAAAAAAAAATTCACCGAAATCAAAGAAATAATAAAGAAATTTTTTAAAAAAAAAATTTATTTTTCTTGAAAAAAAAGGCATTAGAACCTTCCTTTTTATACTTGGACGCAGAGAGAGTTTCACACACACGAAAGCAAAATGGCTAAGTCACAGATCTCCCTTTGCTTCATCTTCTTCTTCCTGTACCTTGTTTCAGGTACGTTAATATATCTTTCATCGCCATTCTTCTTCTTCTTGGTAGGGTATTTCAATAAGTTCTTGTAATTGTTTTTTTTTTTATTTTAAAAATGTTATTACTCAGAAATATTAAGCCATTATCTCTTATTTTCAAATAGAAAACAAATTATTCTAATTATTCACAATGTTATCGCCCATTTGATTTTTTTTAAATTTTTTTACATTTTCTTATGTATCAGCTGATATATATATATATATATATTTTAATGTATTGAATCTTTATGTATTTGAATTTAGAACAGCTTTGTTTCTCATTTTCAAGATCGAATACAGGGGGAAATCGTCCCGTCCTGTACTTTAAAAATATGTTATATGTTATGTCGTTTATCACTATATATATATATGCATTGCAAAGTTCTTTTCTGCTTAAATCTTTTTTAGAGTTTTAAAAATCTAATTTAAAAAATAAATAAATAGAAACATTGTGGTGTCGGATTCTTGCATGGATCATCAGAACAAGTTTTTGTTTATTTTGTGTTTGTAAAGATTTGTTGAGTTCCTTAAGACTCACTGGTCACTGATGTTGTTCATCTCCAATTTCTGGCGTTTCTTCTTCCACAAGGCAACTTCATCATGGTGAATGCCCAGGTAAAACGCTTGCGAAGGAACCTCAATGATCAATCTCTTCAAAATTCATACCTAAACTCTACACAATGTGTATATATATATATATATATATATATTTGCTGTTTCAGAAAACATGGTGTGTGGCAAAGCCTTCTTCGGATCAAGCGGCGCTTCTGGAGAACATAAACTACGCATGCTCGCAGGTGGATTGTCGGATTATTTCGAGAGGCTGTCCATGTTTCTCACCAGACAATCTCGTGAGCCATGCCTCTGTCGCCATGAATCTCTATTACCATGCCAAAGGAAGGAACCAGTGGAACTGTTATTTCAATAACTCAGGCCTCATCGTCCTCACCGACCCCAGTAAGTTTCTTTTCTCTTCAGTTTAATCTTGTCCTCTGGTCATCCAAAGGTATGTCCGTTAACGGGCTTTTTCTTTTCTTTCCTTGGTGAATATTCGCAGGCTATGGTAGCTGCACCTACGAATGAACCAGAGGATAGATTTACAGTCGTCAGTCGTGTTCTTCTTCTCGAATCTGTTGTTTCGACCGCTCGTATTCTTGTGTGATGATTCTGCAAATGAGTAATCTTGATTTGAAGTGAGAATGCATTAAAGTTTATATAGTTCGGTTCGATCCCATCTTCGTGCGAAGCTTATCCTTAGTATGTGGAAGAATCAAATCATATTCGTTGTTGTGATCCTTTTATGTGGACAAGATTGTGCGGCCGGCTAATTCTCCAACGAAGGGTCTTTCTAACAATGAATCGTGAGTCTAATGGGTGTTCAACACGTGGCAAGATCTCAACTGCCTGATCAGATAAGCTCTTATGGAGGAGATGCGAGGGGTTTTCCCTCTCTTCTTTCGTATTGAACAAAAAACACGAACGCTCATCTCTTCCTACAAGACACGAGTTCTATGTGGTTCTGTCTCCTCCACACCTCCACCAGAAGAAAATAAACCAAAAAAAGAAAAACCCGGAAAGAAAATTGATCCACGATACTACCCAATTGAGAGATCTTTCGTTTTTAGGTAATCCTGGATTTATTTCCATTACACCCAATTGTTTTCTATCCGAGAAAAAGATGCTTGCTTTCTCGCTTCCTCTTGTAAAAATCCAGATTCTTTGTGGATTCTAGTGGCAGAGCTTCATAATCATTTCGTTTCGTGCTCTTTGCCGTCGTACTGGGTTTTCTGGATTTGTCTGAGAATGGTGCTAACATGTCGGAATATGGATTTTGGGACGAGTGTTCTTGATCTGGTGTCAAGTGGGTGTTCTTGTACTTCTCGGACTGGTCGTCGGTTCTTGTTTGGGAATTATTCGAGGACTGTGTATAGGGTTAGTGGCAGCAGAAGCTATTGCGGTTCAAATTCGGTTCTTTTTAAGCGGAGCATGGGGAGTTGCAGAGTGATTCCGACAAAATCTCCAAAGACTGCTCTTGCCGGCGGTATGATTCTCGGATTTCCAATAGTTGGTCATTCCCTGTCTGATTTCTGATTCTTCGATTCATTTTTCATGTTGGATTGGGTTCTCTGATTAGATATGGAGTATTGAATGAAGGGTTGATTGGATATTCTCCATTAGAATTGGATGTATTGATTGTGGTTGAAATCAAGACATGAATCCCATAATCCGGAGGATGGGAACTCTCATAAGCACTTCAAGTTTTGGCCCTTTTTTATGTTCTGTCTGTCTCAGAGTTACCGATCTCTAGCTTTGGTTATAATTTCTCCTCATGTCAGATAATCTTTGAATATGATGGATGCATTCCGCTGAACTTTCTATCAATTGGGTTTAAGTTTTTGTGGAGCCACTGAGAAATTTCTTGCAGAGGCAGCGAATTTTTCGTTTCGGTTCTTCACTGAAACTCAGGCTTTTCATGTTTCTGTTTAGCTTTTGGCAATGTTTTTGCTATAAACCTGTGGAGCTCCAAATTGTTTGGAACTCTGAATTCCGGGACAGGTTCTTAACCGTCGCGAAATTAATGACTGCAGGTATCGGGGAAGATAAAACAGTGACTCTCGATTTGAGGAAAGAGCCAAGACAACAGATTTCTTTGGCAAATCTGTTCGAGGTAGTAGCCGATGATCTTCAGACACTGAACGATAATCTTCTGTCGGTTAGTATCTCGACACTCTTCATAGAGAATCAAACAAAAGAATCCCATCTTTCATTTTACATTTCACCCGATATCTCAAAAAGTTTCGAACTTTATGTTTATGGAAAGACTTGAGAGTGACTCTGATGGAATGGTCAAATCTTTATAGATTGTCGGGGCAGAAAACCCGGTCTTGATTTCGGCTGCTGAGCAGATTTTCGGTGCCGGTGGTAAGAGGATGAGACCGGGACTGGTATTCCTAGTATCCCGGGCCACTGCAGAGTTAGTAGGCCTAAGGTAATTTCCTTCGAATTGCTACTTTTTAGTTCATTCTCCTCCCCCGCGGCGGAAGATGATAGTTTGTAGTTGTATGGGTACAGGGAACTTACTACAGAGCATCGGCGTTTGGCTGAGATCATCGAGATGATTCATACCGCAAGCTTGATACACGATGATGTCTTAGATGAAAGTGATATGCGAAGAGGTGAGTTTCCATTGATCGTTTTCACAATGCCCCTCGTTGATCTGCATCATTAGTTAATGGTTTGATCTGAAATGGTAAATTCAACTCCCCGAGAGAATAAATCGCCGATTTTTTTTTTTGTGTGGTTTTCCGGCAGTTTCACTGCCATTTTTGTGAAAACTTCGGTTCTTTGTCTCTTCCATCCCGGTTCCATATGTTCTTTGTTGGATAAAAGGTGTTCTTTAGTCGGATGATTCAAACAGAAATACGCCGATTGTTGATCTGAAACGGTAAATTCAAACCCCCGAAAGGGTAAACTACCGATTTCTTTGTGTGGTTTCTGGTGATCTCAGTAGCATTTTTGTGACAAACTCGGTTCTCTGCCATTACCGTGTGGTTTCTCTTGCATCCTGGTTTCATATGTTCTTTAGTTTGACGATTTGAACAGAAACATGATTGCTGATTCGATTTCTCTCGGGCTCGGTAATTTGTTGACGCCTTTTTCTTGTCTCATATTGCAGGAAAAGATACCGTTCACCAGCTTTATGGCACGAGGGTAGCGGTTTTAGCTGGAGATTTCATGTTTGCTCAAGCATCGTGGTACCTTTCCAATCTCGAGAATCTCCAAGTCATCAAGCTCATCAGCCAGGTACTTCGTTTGCTTCTTTTACTCGCATGGACCGACGTCTTTCTGAACTGAATTTCCGAAAAAACATAGAGATTTGAAACTTATGATCTTAATCAGGTGATCAAAGACTTTGCAAGCGGCGAGATAAAACAGGCATCTAGTTTGTTCGACTGTGACATCGAGCTTGATGACTACTTGCTCAAGAGTTACTACAAGACGGCCTCGTTAGTTGCCGCGAGCACAAAAGGAGCCGCCATTTTCAGCGGGGTAAACAGTGACGTGACGGAACAAATGTATCGGTTTGGGAAGAATCTCGGGCTTTCTTTCCAAATAGTCGACGACATTTTGGACTTCACTCAGTCCACCGAACAGCTCGGGAAGCCAGCAGCTAATGACTTAGCCAAGGGAAACTTAACCGCCCCCGTGATCTTCGCCCTCGAGAGCGAGGCGAGGTTGAGAGAGATCATTGAATCCGAATATTGTGAGCCCGGTTCCCTTGAAGAAGCGATCGAACTGGTGATTAGTCACGGTGGAATCGAGCGGGCACGAGAATTAGCGAAGCAGAAAGCCGAGCTCGCGATAAAGAATCTTCAATGCCTCCCTCGGAGCGATTTCAGGTTGGCTCTTGAGGAAATGGTGATGTATAATCTTGAAAGGATCGATTAGTTTGTGATTGAAAGAAAAAGGAAGAAGATACGACGAGAAAGCGACTTGAAAGCTAAACCCGAGTATAGTATAGAACATAAAGGGCGAGGTGCCTGCTGTCTGAGGCAGCCATTGTAGCATCTCTTTGCTGGTGTGAAACTGTAGGAAATTCTGCAGCCATTGAAGCAGCTTGCTGTTTCAGTGTTACACTTAGAATATGTGTCTGTAACATTGCATGAACGTGAAACCAGGTTCGGTTATATTGATTACAACCTTGTTTATTCCTTCATGTCCCGAATGGAACGGACACGAGATAGATCATAGAGAAAGATAAACTCCATTACAAGCTTTTCAGAAGCATGAACGAAGACGTTTTTTTTAACCGTTTCGCCCTTATACTCCCTCGAGTTTACGGATGATTATATGAGCTCCGTGTTGAGGAAGTGTAGTGATAACTGGAAATGGTGCGTGAGTATATGCAGGAGAGATCTCCAGCCTGAACCGCCGAAGAAGAGTGACCAGGAAGAGCTTGGCTTCAACCATGGAGAAGTTCTGACCGATACAAACACGAGGGCCTGACCCGAATGGAAAGAAGATGAGCTTTCCGTTGGTTGCAGCCGCTACCCCATTCGCAAACCTCTCGGGCTTGAACTCTTTTGCGTCTTTCCCCCAGAGATCGGTATCGTGATGAACCAGAATCATCGGTATTGTGACCACGATTCCCTCGGGTAGAGTGAACTTCTCCAGTTTCATTTCTTGTTTAGTCATTCGGGATGTAAAGTAAGCCGGTGGATACAGCCTCAGAACTTCGTTAAGGATCATCGTTACCTGATCAGCATCATTAAACAACACGAAACCCGGTTAGTTCCAAGAAAAGGTTGTCAGATACCTGTTCTTTCATCAGGTTTTCGTGGTTATGAACTTACGATTTTCAGGTGGCTTAAACCGTCGAAATCCGGCTCATTCTTACCGAACACCCGAAGAACCTCGTCCCTTGCTCTGTCTTGCCAGTCCTGATGTCTGCAAAGCATAACCAATGTCCAGACGAACAAAGAAGAAGTTGCACTCTGACCTGCCTCGTAGAACTGCTCGACATTGCCGACTATGTCATCAAGCGTCAATCCCGCGGCTGGTCCTTGATCTTTGATCAACTTAGAATTCGAAACCAACATCGAAGACAGCAAGTCCATGTCGTGGATCTTGTCTGCTGCATCTATCGCCATCTCTTTCGTCTTGATCATAGCCTTCAGCATTGACTTTACCTCCCTTCCAGTGTCTTTCAACCTCTTGTTGAACTTGGTCGGTAAATATCTGCAGAATGAATGAATCAGACTGTCTCAGCAGCCATTTTTAGGGCTGAACACGGGTATCCGAACCCGCGGATACCCGAAATTCGGGAATCCAATCGTCGATTAGTACGAGAACGGGTTCTTTGTCGGCAGAAACTTGAGTCAAGAGTTCAGAGTGTAAGCTCATTGGATGAGTACCGTGACCCATTGGTACTCGAGCCAGCGGGGAAAGGGGGAGAAGCCGAGAGGTTGCGAGCTCGCGAGGGCGAGGCCCTCATTTCTCGAAGCATAGGGACCTCACATCACGGTCCCTTCGCGACCTTGCCTCACTCACCAGCCAAGTACCCCACAGGTACTCGAACCCTTTCCATGCCTTGCGGGTACCAACCATCATGAGTACTCGTGACCGAGTTTCAAGACCGAGGTCGGGTGTCACATTCGAGGCTATGTTTTCGTGCAAGTAAATCAAGTTTCAGGATTATATTATGAACATCTACGGAAGGTACATCGAATTACCCCACAAGATCAAGTCCGATATCGACTCGGTAAAGCTGGAAACTGTCACCTGTATCCAGGAATGTAGATGGATCGAAGAACTTGAAGACCGAGATCGATATGTTCCTGTTGAATCTCGAAAATCTTGGCTCCATCTTTGTAAGTGTCGCCAAAAACAGCTCGAGCCAACATGTTTTTCGACAGCTCGAGGCAGTACGACCAAGAATCAAGCTCTACCGACCCGTTGGCCGACGCCAATCTCTCCCATTCTTCTAACATCTCGACGCAACTCCAGTAGAAACCTCGAAACAGATTCTGTCGGAGTATTTGTCTTAGATCGATCATACGTATTATTTGTAATATTCTCGCGACATCTGTTACGGACAGAAGAGAGACGCTAAGTGAGGTAGATGGAGATGTGCACCTTCAAGCTTTCGGTACGGAAAGTAGGATTGAGGAACTTCCGGTGTTTGGACCATTCCTGGCCTTCGAGAAGCACGAGACCGCTCACGAGCACCTCGGCGTGAGACATGAACGTTGGCTTCGGCCACAGTTCGTGTCGGGAGAATATCTCTCGTAGAATTTCGGGGTCCATTATGATCACGTTCGGGAACGGTCCAAACCATGTGAAGCACTTCTTCCCTTAACGTAACACAAACAAAAGAAAGACAATACATATTTATTTTTATTTTTGTTTTGTATTTTCATGATTCGATAGGATTCTATATAATCTAATACAATAAAAAATATTTTATTCCTTACCCTTTTGACGTCTTCATACGTTACTATTTATAACGGATACGTCTTTCAATACGAGTTTGGAATCTTTAACAAATTTGTCAATTGGCAGAACTTTACAATTTTGATTGAAAAAATATCAAGTTTTTATTTTTATCATATAAATATTAAACTTTTTAAATGAGTTTAAAAAAAATATTAAATTTTTTAAATGATACAAAAAATGCACTAACTTTTATACGGTTATCAACAAAATACTGAAATTTTTAAATGGTTAAAAAAATATATTAACTATATAAATTATCAAAAAACCAATTACAATAACTTTACGTCTTTACATCTCCTTATACCATATTAGTTAATTTATTTATTTTCATAATAGTGAGAGGGTTAAATGTTTTTTTTTACAATTTAAAAAATTTAATATTTATTTGACAAAATCAAAAGTTTAATATTTTTGTCAAAAATGAAAAATTCAGTATTTGTTTTTTAGATTTTTTCTAAAATAAATAGAGAATATGAATAGGGGTAGTAATTTTGGTTAAACCGAATAAAATATAGCTGTAATCGAACCGAATCGAACTACAAACTGAACGGTTATATTTATCTAAATCCAAAAAACCAAAACTGAATCAAACCAAACCGATTAAAAAATAACCAAAAAACGACAATTTCGTTGAAAAAATAAATTTTTTACAACAAAATGCGAATTTGAACTGAACCAAACCGAAAATAATTCTACTGTAACCGAAGTTTATATAAAAATTGAATGGTTATAATTGTTCTTAAACCGAACCCAAATATAAATGAATTGAATTCGAACCGAAATACGAAATGACCATCCTAGAGATGAATACTGCTTACTTGTCTCCGGTATCTTATACCTTAAAAAATATATTTCTTCCACATCAAAAAGGAAAAAAAAATATTTGTCTTTCCTTTATGAACTAAAACGAGAGCGATAGAGAAAAATCACCATGGTTTCTCATTGACGAGATCGTGTGTGTATATATATATATATATAAAGAAAAAGAAATACCGTATTTTTGGACAGTGTGATGAAAGAAAGGCATCAAACGAGAAGCGATATCCGCGTCGAGATGGAGAGGAGTGGAGTGAGATTCTCGGTCCATCAAGCTGCTCTGCCAAAGATCTCCGACCAAAACTCTGTAAGAGTTGCCGGAAAAGCCCTGTCCCCTCAAACGTTTCTCCAACCTCTTCGGCTTCAGCCAAACCCAGTTCAAGCCTCTCCACGCCCAAACCGCTACCAATAACACCGATGCCACACATGCCCACCACACGCTTGTTCCCATCGCCTCTTCTTTCACGGATTTCTCCTTTCCCTCTCCTCTCTCTTCGACTCTTGAATCTGCTCTAACGAGCTAGCTCAATAAATAAATACTTTTACGCATATATATATATATATATATATGTATATATTTAGGCATGTGTAGATGTGTTGTTTTCGCTCATGTTCTTTTGATACTATATTTGTTTGTATACGGCATACGGTTTGGTAAAAAGATAGATTAGATACCCATTTGGTTTTTATGTCGAGTTTTGATTCAGATTCGGTTATTAAAATTATATTCATTTTTTTGAAGAAATGTTTGGTTTGATTCGATTATCAATCAATTTTGTTAAATTTGGATTTTAGAAAACCGTTTTTAAATGGGTTTAGATTTATATATGTTTATAAACTGTTTTGATTTGCTTTGGTTATGGTATTCTCGAACCGAATATGGTTGAGAGTTTGAATTAATGGACATGAATGTCTAAGGGTTGACCAATGCCCCTCTCTCGTTTTTTCTTTAACTTCTTTAACATCTCGTCTAATTAACTTGAGAAAGCCCTGCGTTTTGTAAACTTTTTTTTAATCATGTCAATCAAATTTATACATTTTGGAAAGAATTAAACCTCCCTCTATGATACATCATATACATTAGATTTATCTCGATTATATATACATATATATATATATATATAACCAAATATATAATCATGATCTTCATACGGTTTTACAAAATAATGGTTGTGAGCTTCAACTAATGGACTCATGAATGTGGAAGGTTTGATCGACGCCTTTTTCTCGTTTTTCTTTAATTTCTTTTATATCGATCTCGTTTTTTTTTCATTAATTAATTAGTGCTTTTAATTTAGTTGGTAACAAGAAACTAATTAACTTGTGAAAGACCACGTTTTAAAACCCTTTTTTATTTTTGTCTTTGTGAAATTAAATCATAGCAATAAAACTATTTTTTTTTTTGCAATGAAACATCTCTAAAAGAATATATCTATACTCAATTATTTTGGTTTTTTAAATTTTTGGGTTAATTATAAAATGAATTTTATTTAGAACTATAATATTATCTACCTATTCGTGTGTTCCTTCACTATTTTTCTACAAGGATTTATGAGTTAATTATTTTGGCAAATTCCGAAACTAATGTTATATTTTTATGGAAAAATCTGACATGCAAAACTCTGAAATCGTCGTTTAGATATATAAATTTTTAGAATTCTAAATAGTATTTATTCCAAATTATTATACAAGTACCTCAATTTTCAATTTTTTCACAGACCGTACATCGATCAAAATTGACCAATAACGTGTCCACTAACTAATTGAAAGTGTTATATAAATGAAAAGCATCAGGTCAACAAAATAGTAAACCATGTATACGCATATACATACATATTTATATACACACGCGCGCATACGTATACATATATATAATCAATTGAACCAAGGAGACAATTTGTTCCGATCCTGAAACATGGATACGTATGTTGCTTGGATTCGTAAACTAAACCATGATTCTTGACGAAACGAGAAGCCACTAAATTAACCCTACTCCGACAAAAATGAAATCTTTTTTATTTTTGATTTTTTTTCAGATAATGAATCGATGCATTATAAGGATGGAGAAGGCAAAACTCTAGTTAAAGACGACGACATCAAAGCGAGATGGAGAAGTTACTTTGATGACCTATATAACAAGAACATGGAAACGGACCACATAGAACTAGAGACCGTCACTAAGGAGAGGAATGTCGGTTATACTCGAAGGATTGGATGTGTAGAGGTGAGAGACTCGTTAAGAAAGATGAAAATAGGTAAAGCATGTGGTACAGATGATATACCTATTGAAGTATGGAAGTGCTTAGGAGAAGACGGAATAATTTGGCTTACTAGGTTGTTTAATAAAATCATAGTGTCGAAGAAGATGCCAAACGAATGGAGGCAAAACACTTTAGTCCCTATTTTTAAAAATAAGGGAGATATACAGAGTTGCACAAACTATAGAGGCATAAAACTCATGAGTCATATGATGAAGTTGTGAGAAAGAATCGTAGAGCGACGTTTACGTAGCGACGCATCTATTTCTGTAAACTAATTTGGTTTTATGCCCGGAAGATCTACAATGGAAGCAATCTTTCTCATCTGAAATTTGATGGAGAAGTTTCGAGATATGAAGAAAGATCTGCACATGGTATTTATCGATCTCGAAAAAGCTTACGATCGAGTACCAAGAGAGGTTTTATGGTGGGTCTTAGAGCGTAGGGGGATATCGGTAAGATACATACAAGTATTGAAGGACATGTATGATGGTGCGACTACTCGTGTCCGAACAATAGGGGGTGACACGCGAGATTTTCCCATCTCGATAGTGTTACACCAAGGGTCCGCTCTAAGTCCATACCTCTTTGCGTTAGTCATGGATGAACTGACTAGAGATATACAGAAAGAGGTACCGTGGTGCATGATGTTTGCGGATGACATCGTGCTAATAGACGAGTCCAGAGAAGGAGTGAATGGACTGCTAGAGTTATGGAGGAGTACGCTAGAGACTAAGGGTTTTAGGATTAGTAGGACGAAGACTGAGTACATACATTGTGACTTCAGTGGCAAACATCCTAGTGATGTGGGAGTGACCCTACAAGGAGGATCAATCCCTCAAAACCCGCATTTTAAATATCTTGGGTCAATCCTTCAAAAGGATGGAGGTTGCGATGAGGATGTTAGCCATAGAATAAAAGCGGGATGGATGAAATGGAGACAAGCCACAGGAGTTCTTTGTGACCGTAAGGTTCTTTTACGGTTGAAAGAAAAATTCTACCGTACCGCCATAAGACCCGCATTGTTGTATGGCAGCGAATGTTGGGCGGCGAAAGGGCAACATATGTCAAAAATGAGTTTGGCCGAGATGAGGATGTTGAGATGGATGTGCGGACACACAAGGATAGATAAAATTAGAAATGAGAATATTAGAAAGAAAATAGGAGTAATAGGCATCGAAGAGAAGGTACAAGAGGGACGTTTAAGATGGTTTGGACATGTACAACGGAGGCCGTTAGTAGCGCCGGTTAGAAAAATAGAGAGTATAGAACTAGAGATGAAAAAGATAGGAAGAGGTAGACCTAGACTTAGTTGGGAGCGTGTGATTAGAAACGATTTGGAAGTATTGCAGATTCCGAAAGAATTAACAAAGGATCGAAATGAGTGGAAACGGAGGATTCATGCGGCCGATCCCAAATAAACTTGGGAATAAGGCCATGTTGTTGTTGTTGTTGTTGTTGAATGAATCGATGCCTATTCACCATGGAACCGTGAGACAATATCTGTACGCAAAATATGAAACCCTAGACAAGGTTGAGAAGAGACTGTGTATATCATATATCTTCACCATTCTTCTCCTTACTTAGATTTTATGGATGATGATATGAGCCCCATGCTGCGGAAACGTGGTGGCGGCGGGGAAAGGAGCGTGAATATACGCGGGAGAGAGCTCGAGCCTGAACCG